GATTTCTTCTCGAAGACTTATTGGTTTTTTTAATATGATTTCTCCATTGTTTTCGAAATCTGATTTGGGTGATATTTGTATTGTTTTCTCCAAGTTTTAGTTCCGAAATCATATTTGTATATGATTTCTTTATTGTTTCAGCAATCAGATTTGTATGTACTGTTTCAGAAATCAGATTTTTAGATTTTGGTGATTTTAATTTTGAAATTTGTTTTTGTTCACTATTCAATATTTGTTGTCTAAACATTATTTCTAAATTTTTGTGTTGTTGTTTATGTGATGTGAAGATAAACATTCTTTCTGAATCTGAATCTGATTGTAGAGGACTTGTTTCAAGGGCATCCCATGAGTACAAGAAGGTTGAGGGAGTTGTTTGGGCACACCCATATGATCGCAGGGGCAGTCCTTAGAATCCTGATTGCTTGTATTTATCGTCAAGGTTGCTTTGGTGTGATCTGAATTCTATGCATGATTGTTTTGTTATAAAAACAACTTTGTTTGATTTTGGTCGATTGATTAGTTATGTATAAAACAAGACATAAGTTGTTATATTATAATCCCAAAAAAAGTTACAAAGCAGAAGTTTGTTGTTAGTTTTTTATTCTTCGGTTAAGATCTTAAAATAGCAACATATTGTTTTTTTAGAACACTAACTAATTTGAATTTTTTTATAAACCTCGTCCACTAATTATCAAGTTTGATATTGATAAAACAAGACATAAGTTTTAGCTTTTTGTTTGTATAGTTTGTTTGATTTTTAAGTTTATTGCATTTTTGTTTATATAATTTTTTTAATTATAAGTTTTGTTCATGGTACAGTACATATATAAAGGCATAAAAAATTTATTTCGCCCCAGGTACCAAAAATCAACGGACCGGCCTGCTGAAACTTATTAACACCATTCTTAAGTAATATGAGATGTGGGGGAAAAACATATATGATTAGTTGAAACTCTTTAAATCCAATGAAGGTCACCGGTAACAATGATGGATGATGGTTGCCAAACAAGGGTGGGTGGAGAAATGAGGAAGGAGGGGGGGAGGTGTTGCAATTCATCGGACAAAGGGAGAGGAAGTAGTGGGGGTGGGCCCTTTCTAATTTAGAATATTAAAATATTAAAAGTAATTATTAAAAAAATGTAAAAAGGTAAATTAAAAGTGTATCATATGTATTTCAATTATGGGTAAATTACACCAATCGTCCCTCGTGCATATGCCAGAAAGCGTGTTTAGTCCCTATTTTCAAAAGTTAACTCGGGTCGTCCCTGGTTTGATTTAACGTTGCAAGTTTCATCCCTGAAAGACAATTTTTTTGCGAACTTAGTCCTTGCCAAAGTTTAAATGACCATTATACCCTTGTGTTTTTAATTTTCAATTAATTTGTTATCTATATTATCATTTTCAATTTAAAAATAATAATAAATGCCCCCATCCCCTTCACTTTCCCCAACCCATCCACCTTTCACTGTTACCGATCGGAGAGAAACATACAAACACACACACATACATACAGTCATCGGCCACCCTCCGAAGAACCTTCCCCACCCTTTCACTACGTTACTGATCAAGAAAATAAAAACACAAAAGACACAGACTCGATGAGAGGGAAAGAGGATACCTACAACTTGATGATGGTTTTGGGTGGGTGTTGAAGTGTATATCGTTGGTGGGATAACGAAGATCGGAAAAGAGTGAGCATGAGAAGGAAGAAGGAGTGGTGTGTTTGACAGAGAAAGAAGAATGAGGAGGAGCGCCAATGAGGAATTGAAAAGGAAAGCCTACGACGACTAGGGTTTTGGATGGTTGTCGGAGTGCAGATCTGTCTCCGACCTCTTTCACCTCCAAGAACATAGGGTTTCACGAACAATATCATGGCATCGATTAGGGTTTCAAACCGACTGAAGTAGTCGATCTCCTTCTTCATCTGTACGTAGCCATCGATCTCCATCAGCTAGGGTATTGAGATCGATGATTTCTAACATATGTTTTGATCGATTTTCGACAGATGTGTAGAGGGTGATAGAAGGTGGTATCAGGTGGCGATTGTGGTTTGGTTCAATGACTTAGGTTTGCGAAGGAGGTGAGAATGGGGGAGAAGGGAAGTGGTGTACTGTGATTTAAGGGTGATAGAAAGAGGGTGTTGGCGGTTTCCGGCGATGTTTGTGGCTAAATATGATGTCGATCTTGAAGGTAGTGGTGGTGGCTAATGGAGGTTGTGGCTGTCGGTATAAGGGGAGGGGTGGGGATATTTGTTTTATTTATTTATTTTTTAATTTAAACTAATAATGAAATAATAGAAAATGAAAAAAAAAATTATTAAGGGTATAATAATCATTTCATGTCTATAGGGACTAAGCGTGCAAGAAAAAACAAACACAGAGAGGTCCGAGTTAATTTTTGAAAATGTAAACTAAATATGCTTTCTGACATATACACGAGGGACGATTGGTGTAATTTACCCTTCAATTTTTAACGTGATTAAATACACAATGAAAACCTTCCAAAGAATATTATACCTAATTTTAAAGGTATGGACCGTATCCAAAGAAAATAACAAACTATGAGAATTTTTGCAATTTAGTCTTTATCTTAGACTATGTTTGGCGTATTAGCTGAAAAAACTAACTGTTAGCTGAAAAGCTAGCTGATAGCTGAAAAGCTAGCTGTTAAATAAAAAGCTAGCTGATAGCTGAAAAATTAGCTGATAAAAAATAACGTTTGGTAAATTAGCTGAAAAGCTAGCTGAAATATATAAAATTACATAAAAAGACATGTAAAAGTATGTGTTTCTATAATTAATTAAGGGGTGTATTTGGAAAATTTTAAACAAGCTTTTAAAAAGCTAGTCTAAGTAGCTTTTCAAAAAGCTAGCTTATAAACTACTTTTTGGCTTACCAAACACAACAACGTAAAAAAAACTCGAAAAATAAGTTAGCTTATCAGTTAGCTGTGACGCGCCAAACATAGCCTTAATAATAAACGACAAAATACAGACAATATGATCATTGGGTCTTAACAATATACCAGAAATTAAATGAGTTAGAGAGAGGGACCAAACCAAAACAAAATCCACGCTTAAAGACGGTATAGTTAGAAAAGAAAAAAATAGTTAGATTTGGGAGTTTAATTTTTGCACAACCACGTACACTATTTTTCTAATTTATTCTTTTTTTATTATTATTTTACTCAATTACCTGAGAACTTCAATAACAACTCAATCTAACCCATTTCGAATGAATAATTTAAACGGTGACCATCAGATGTTGGTTTATTAGGGACATTTATCGAAACTATATATGGTATAAACTTTCAACTCAATATTCAGTCCAATAACCATTTAAAACCGATGATAGTGATTGGCGAACCACCATAAATAATTCTGATACTAACTTTTTGTCACGAACCCAAATTATGGCATAAACTTATGAATAATATATAAAACAAATGCTAATAAATTACATTGATATTTAAGGTACTGTTATTAAAACAGATGTCAATAACTTACATCGATGTCTAAATTTATGAAGACGAGAGTGGATGTCGATCAATCATGTCGAATAGTTCGTCTCCGATCCCAAACCCGAGCATTCTAGCCATATCTTTAACCTTCAATCTAGGCTTTGGGATGTCATTTTCTTTCAACCAAGAATATGTTATAAACACTTTTTTCATTATGAACAATTCTAATGCCTCGGGATTGAACACAACTCCCATTCTCATACTCATCTGCAAAAATTATAACACATTTAAACAGTCAGAACGTGAAAAATAGTCACAAAAATTATATCATCAAACAGTCACAACATGAAAACTCAAATAAATTGAAAATAGGTCGATTTTATTTGGTTTTGGGATAACATGATAAATGTTTTTATTGTATCTCTGGTTTTGTGACCATTGAACAAAGCCAAACATAATTGACTGGTTCACTTCATCTGGAAAACTTCCGTGTTTAGCAAATTTAAAAAAATTCACAATGAAATAGAGCAATCTTGTTATAAATACAAGAAAACAAGTCAATTGTGTTGCATGTTATTGTTAACTTGTCGGATCGGTATAATAGAAAAAAGTAACAATCAATTGAATATGTTAAACCGGTTGAAAGTCGATATATTCAAATGTTTACAACCTCCTAAATCGTTTCATTGTATTTGTAATAACAAACGTATGGATTTCATAATATAGTTTACGTAATACTTTAGTTATTTATAATATAAGAAAATGAACAAAAATATAGTCACGTCAATATGCTTAATTTAATACTTTCATAGTTTAACTTGCTATCCAATATGTTCATTTTGTCACATTTAGACAAATAATTTGAATGTACCTGGTGAGGCACCAACATGGCCGCATATCTAGCAAGTTCTCCAGCTCGCCAGTCCAATAGGACTGGAAGCCATGGATACGTAGCATCAAGTCTAACAAACCATAATCTTATATCAGGGAATTCAGATAGTTCTCGGGGATCGTGTTCATCGTCTCTATTGTAATTAATTGTGAATCCTATCGTGCGTTCAAGAAATTCCCTTGGCTCAACTACAAAAAGACATCATCAATCAATCAAGCGTAATGAAATTAAATACAATAAATCCTTATATTACTTGGATTTCAAGTCATCATACTAACCAGGTGAGGTTGTTGTAATTCCAGTGGCATTTGAAAATGGAAACAAATCAAGGAGCCGGATTGTATCGTTGTCTATTACTACTTCACATCTACCTTCTTTTGGTGGCATGGGTGGAGGTGCTTGTTCTACATCTATAGTACAACGTTTTTTCGTTAGGCCTATTTTTATATTAAGTATTCTCCGGACAAAGTAATGTCTCAATAAGTAATTTTTTTAAAATATTAAAGAAAATAATGGCACGTGTACATAGCTGGCAAGATTAATTCATAACTTCAATATTAAGTTCATAAAGTAGAAAGAAACAACGCCTACTTAAACAATATTTGACTGACTAGCATTTGTGAACTTTTAAAAGCATTTTTCCGGCATTTCTATGATACTGATGGTATATTTGTTGTAAAGAAAACTAAGTATGCTGAACAGAAAAGTTAATGACCAATTGAAAACAGAAAAGAAAGACATGGAAAGGAAGGACGTACTTTTTTGTTCATCATACAGTGAGAAATCGTTTGGTTTAAGGAAAACGATGGGTTTAATGAAGAAAAGTTAGTGACCAATGGAAAACAGAAAATAAAGACATGGAAAGGAAGGACATACTTTCTTGTTCATCATAGAGTGAGAGGTCAAAGTTCCCACTTGGATTGAATGCTACCGAGACTGAAACCTGGCCTCGTTCACGACTGAATTGTGATGGAGATTGGAATTCGGAGATGGGTCTGAAGGAAAACGATGGGTTTAATGAAGAAGTCGATTGTTTTAATGGAGATGAGAGTGATGAGAATGGCTTGATGGAAGCCATGGATGTGGTTCTTGCTAAGGTTGAAGAGACTGTATTGTGTTTCTGTTTTTTAGATTTGTTTTTTGGTTTATCTACTTTTCTTTATGGCCTAGCGTTTGTAGTCATATCCATTTGGGCTTCCTATTAATGGACCTCAAATCCTTTTGATTACATTATATAAAATATAAATTTAGAGGTATTTTAAAATTATTGTAACGTTTATAGTTAAATAATTATTTGATTAAAATTGAGCGTAATTGGTTTTATTATCAATAACTAACTTTAGGACTAATATGCGACCCAAAAATGTTACAATTTTCTGGTTTAGACCAAATTTATATCTTAAAATAACTATAATTTTCCTAACCCTTTTCGTTTTACATGATAATCCAGTTTGTAAGTTAACTTTCGGTAAACAGACAATAAATTTTGGAAAAGTTGTATGTAAAAAGAAATTTATTTTAAATGGGAAAAACATCAAACTTATGGATCTTTTATGAAATTAACCCATAAAAAAACCTACAACTTCCCAAAATTTCCCGAATGATCTATATGTTCAAAAAAAATTCCTAACGGGGTATCATCATATGGCTATAAATAATTATACATAAACTATTTCGTAGGATGTTTGGTATGTGACGATGTTTCTGTGTTGATATAGTAAAAGACTAAAAGTCATGGAAATATGCAAATGATATTATTTGATAAAAGATTAAACTTACGATTTATATGGGGTGAGACGTTCGAGGTTGTATATTGATATAAATAAGGATGTG